TCTGTACTGCAGAGGTTAGGAGATCATTTTGCATGAGCAACTTTCTGCTCAAAGGAAGCAGAAATTGTCTGAAAATGGGAATATCAGAGAATCCCAGAATGGTTTGGGTTGGAAGGACCTTCAAACCCATCTCATTCCACCCCCTGCCATGGCAGGGACACCTTCCACTATCCCAGGTTTCTCCAAACCCTGTCCAACCTGACCTTGGACACCTTCAGGGCAGGTCAAACAAGCCTTGAGTTGTTTGTGAAGCCAATAAATTTTGGACAAAGCTTTTTTTTCAATGCTGAAGACCCAGGGAATGTCCCACCTTCAGCACATCTGAACCAGCAAGTGTTCCAGCTGAGTCTTTGGGCAGCAGGGAAAGGAGGGTGGAGACAAACTGGCTGTGGGAGGAAGGACAGATTTTTCTGGTGGGATGAATTTAATGTTGCTGTTCTCCAAAATGAGTCACAAGCTGGAGAAGTGGGGCATTAATCCCAGAGGGGATGAGTAAGTGGGCAGGCTGGTCAAAGGAGCATCACAATTCAGACTTGAAGCTCTGCTCTTCCCCTATATTAGCAATGGATTCTGCTCTGTTTTGATAAAAATCAGAATTTTTCCACCAGCTCCTGGAATTAAGAAAAAATAATAACTTAAAAATAAATGATGTCACCCTTGAAAGTAAGCAGCACATTGAGACGTACAGATGATTTTTTTTTTTCAGTACATGTCACTCTGAGGCATCATTTGAGCTTTAGCTTCTCTTCCAGTCAGACATGCCCAGAGCCTGGCACCTCGCCAGCCTGGCTCCTACTTGATGGAGCAATTTTGCCACCTTATTTTCAGAAGTGATTTCCAGAGATGTTTTTGGGCAGCATTATCCCTGCCAATGCCCATGGTCAGAGCTGGAAATCCTCAGGGAAGGACAACCTCCTCTGGCACATGGGGGTTTTTCATTACGCTGTGCTACCAATTAAGTGCTGGATTTAATAAGCAAAGTGTGTGTTTGATGCCTTGTGCAGGCTGCCCCAGAGCAGAGGCTGGATGGAGTTCCAGAATAAAGTCCTTGGAGCAGCTCTGTGTCTTCCCTGGACTCCCTCCAGCAGCTCCACATCCTCCTTGTGCTGAGCCTCTTTGTCTGCCTCCTACAGAACAGGAAAAATCCCGAGTGTTTTGCCATTGGGAAGCTTTCCTTTAGCTTCCACAATCCATCTAACCCCAGGAAACCTCAGCACTCTCCCAGGGAGCTGCAGCTCCCTGCCAGCAGTGAGGCAGCAGAGCTGGCATTGCCTTCAGCCTGCAGCAGCTCAGAGTGGTGGGAAGGAGCCTGTCCTGGGCAAAGGGAAACTGATTCTGGAGAACTGAGCATCAAAATGTTCAAAATGCTCAAAAACTGGGAGGTCTGGCTACAGCTATAAAGCATTTCCTGGATCCTTCATGTTTGTGACACTGACATTGGGCAAAGATGCCACCTGCATTCAATGGATCATCCACAAAAATCTGGCACTTTTCCTTGCAAGGAGGAGACCTCAGGAACAAATGGGAAGGGTTTCCAACTTTTTGAGCTCCTGCAGTGGTGCTTGGAGCAAATGATGTCACCAGTAGAAGCTCTGGAGGTTGTTCTGGGAGGCAGAACTCTGGGAGCCCTGGAGCCTTTCCAGGCACAATGCCAGCATTCCTGACCACACTCTTGGCACCAGAGAGGAGAGTGACCTCAGCACCTGTCCTGCTGCCAGGAGCTGTCCCCAGGACAGGGAAATCAGGATGTGCTGGAAGCTCTGGGTGACCTGAGGGAGCAGGATGAGCTCAGGGATGCCGATTTCAAGGTTGTGCACACAGGGACTCAAAACCAGGATTGCTCCTGTCAGCCAAGAGCTCATCCACTCAAAATGATGGAGGAGGAGGAGGAGGAGGATGGATTGGCTGGTGACAGGATGAATTATGAGCTGCCAATGTCTTGGAGTCATAAAAAGGCAGCTCCAAGCTCTGGCTGCATCTGCTGAGATGTTCCCAGGGGACACAGGGAGAACGTTCCAGGAACAGCAGAGATGCTCTGTAGGGACAAGCACCACGTGTGGGACCTCCAGGCACAAGAGGAAACACATTCCCAGAGCCTGAAGCAGGTTTCCCACGTGGCAGTGGAAGATCTGCCTGCATCAGACACCTGAGGCCTCTCTGGAAAGGTTCTGGTGCTTCCAACCCTCTCCTCTGAGGAGCTCTGAGCCCTTGTCCACTCTCTGATTTATCTCCTCAAGTTGTTCCAGGTGTGGGATGAATAAGGAGACTGCAGAGTCGTTGTCTTGCTTCATTTCTCTCTTTTATTTATGAGCTCTTGCCCAGCTCAGATATTTATTACCATTCACCAAGAGGATCCAACAGCACTTATAGAGTCTAAATGACTTTAATTTATCTCAGCCCAGTGGTGCCTTCCACACTCTCCAGGACAGAGGCTGGTTACAACAGGAGATGCAGGACTTGGAGCTGCTTCTGTAGTAGGAAAATCCAGGGAAATTTTCATCATGGAAAGGATGGTCAAGCATTACAAACGACTGCTGGGGTGGTTTGGAGTCCCCATCCCTGGAGGTGTCCAAGGAATGACTGGAGGTGGCACTGAGTGCTCTGGGCTCAAGGTGGGGATCAAGGCTGGACTCGATGATCCCAAAGATCTTTTCCAACCTCACTGATTCCATGGCTCTGTGTGAAGGTGAGAGCCACACGGGAAAAGCAGGAGCCAGCTGAGAACAAGACAATTTCCCCACCCTTTAATGATCACAGCCACGTCAGACAAACGAATGCTGAAGCTGGGTCAAGTAATTACTGCAGGTCCAGAGCCGTGCAGCTCTCGGGGCAGTGACAAGTGTGGCAGTCACAAATAAAGCACAGCCAGAGCACAGCACTCAAGCTGCAGTGCCAAGAAGAAAACAGCTCAATGTTTATGACCAAGGGTTGCTTCCAAAGGCACTGGCTGTGCTCCTCTCCCTGCCCATTTCCATGATCAGCAGGATCACTCCAGCAGAAACGGCAATCCCAGACCTGCCAGGGTGAAAAATGGCCACGGGAAACAAGAGGCAAGCAAGGAATGATGGTTTTATTTTGGAAAAAGGGCAGCTCGAGGAGGGAGAGCAAGGGAAAAAAAATGAGCAGCTCTGAGCAGAGACACCAACAGGGAGCAAATGAGGAATGTTCAGCAGAGTCCAGGGGAAGCCATGGTCAATACAGAGCCAGCAGGAGCCTGAGGAAGCAGAAAGGGAAGAACAAAGCACACTGGAGTGGAAAAGAGACGCTCTCAGGAAATCCTTTTCTCCTTATCACCTGTCCTTCCTTGTCAGGCTGAGAAATGGTGGTGCCTGCCTTGGGCATCTGGGCTTTTGGGCTTTCCCCCCTGCCTGAATATCAGTGCGGGAGCTTGGAATTGCAGCTGCTCCCTGAATCCCAGCACCTGCATGGACCCACTGGGGAGGGGAAGGAGCCCCTCAGTGTGTTCTGTTGAGTGGGGGACCCACAGCCCTGGGTGCCCCCAGTACTTTTGCCATCCCTCACCATGGAAATGGGTGCTATGGGCAGGGACACCTTCCACTGTCCCAGGCTGCTCCAAGCCCTGTCCAACCTGGCCTTGGGCACTGCCAGGGATCCAGGGGCAGCCACAGCTTCTCTGGGCACCCTGTGCCAGGGCCTCCCACCCTCACTGGGAAGAATTTCTCCCTAATATCTGCTCTAAATCTTCTCTCTTTTAGCTTCAATTCATTCCCTGTGTTCTGTCCCTCCATGCCTTGTCCCCAGTCCCTCTCCAGCTCTCCTGGAGCCCCTCCAGGCCCTGCCAGGGGCTCTGAGCTCTCCCTGGAGCCTTCTCTTCTCCAGGAGAACATTCCCAGCTCTCCCAGCCTGGCTCCAGCCCTTGGAGCATCTCCATGGCCTCCTCTGGACCCGCTCCAGCAGCTCCAGGTCCCTCTGACATTGTGTCCCAGAGCTGGACAGAGCCCAAAGCCATCACAGGGGGCACAGAGCACCTGCACCAACAAATGCAGCCCCAAATTTGCGCCCAGAGACAGGGAAACGGGAGAAAGCACAGAGACGTTCCAAGCAATCCTATTTTTCCATTGGCTGAGCGGGACCCGCCGTGCCGCTCTGTTGCCAGGAGAGTTTAAGACCTCGGCCGACCTTCGGAGCGAGCGGGGCGGAGAGGCAAAGCCGCGGGAGCCCCTCGGGGCCCTGTCCCCGCTCTCCAGTGGCGCAGCGTGTCCCCACGGGGGCGTCGCAGGCTCGGGGACAGGCCAGCACCGCAGCAGCACCGCTCCGCTGCCGTGCCCGGAGAGCCGTGCCGTTACCGCACACGGGCGGCCGCTCCAGTAATTACAGCTGCACCCTCACGGCCGCATCCGTCAGCGGAGCCCGTGCACTGCCAAAGTCACCTGGTGCGGTCAGGGGGGAAACCGCAGGAGCGCCCCTGGATGCCGGGGAGGGGATGCTGCGGGCACCGCGGGGCTGTAGTGCCGCTTCCCGGAGCCGGGGAAGGGAAGATGAGCAGGCAGAGGAGCGGGCAGAGGAGCGGCAGGCCCGGGACCGCCGCTCTCCCGCACCGACCCCGCAGCGGCGCCGCAGCCCCGAGCGCAGCCCCCTCAGCAGCGCCGCGGGGCGGGTGGGCGAGCTGCATGACGGACAGGCGGATCAGCCAATCGCAGCGCGCAGCGCACCTCCGCGCCGGCGGGCGGGCCAATGGCGGGGCGGGGGGGCGGG